GGAAATGCCCTGAATCTGTTTTTTCAAACAAGCCCCTTGATTTGTCTAATCTTAGAGTGTTTGGGTGTGCTGCGTATGTGCACCAACAAGGTGACAAATTGGATCCTAGGTCTAAGAAAGGAGTCTTCTTAGGTTATCCTGAGGGTGTGAAGGGGTACAGGGTTTGGGATAGGAACCAGGTAGGTTTCAAGGTTGTGGTAAGTAGAAACGTTGTGTTCAATGAATCCGAGTTCCCTTGTCTGGTTAAGTCAGTTCCTGATTCTGAGTCGAGCCCTAGTAGTACACCTGTTGAGGTGGAATCCATACCATATGCTGCTAGTCCTTTGTTTGCTAATCATGATTCTTCTAATTTGCATGATTCTTCTGAATTGCATGATTCTTCTGAGCATGATAATACCACCACTTCGAGTGAGGTGGAGCATTCTCATGTGCATTCAAATGACAATGAATCGCATGATGAGAGTGCTGATCCTAGTGATAATGTTTTACATGATTACCAACTTGTTAGAGATAGAAGTAGGAGAGAAATTAGGAGAACTGCTGATAGCATGCCTGATTTTGCTTTCCATACGTGTGATACTTCTATGTTTGCTTTCTCTGTGTTTGAGACCCTTGAGCTTAACGAACCTAAAACCTATAGGGAGGCCCTTAAGTCTAATGAGTCCGCTAAATGGCTTTGCGCCATGGAGAGTGAGATGGAGTCACTTAGAGCGAATAAGACTTGGACGTTAGTTCCTAGACCGCCCAATAGTTCCGTAGTTGAGTGTAAGTGGCTATTTAAGGTTAAGGAAGAGCCTAACGACATTAGATATAAGGCTAGGTTAGTTGCTAAGGGATTTACTCAAAAGGAAGGTGTTGATTATGCTGAAATCTTTGCTCCTGTTGTTAAATTCACTACGATTAGAACTATGCTTGCTCTTGTTGCTCATCATGATTGGGAAATGAAGCAAATGGACGTCACCACTGCTTTCTTGCATGGTGATTTGGACAAGAAAATCTATATGACCCAGCCTGAGGGCTTTGTGGATCCCATGAAGAGTAATTATGTGTGTTTGCTTAGGAAGGCCTTGTACGGCCTGAAGCAGTCCCCGAGGCAGTGGAATATCAAATTTGACCAGTGCATGTCATCTTTGAAATTTCACAAGTCCGAGTGCGACCATTGCCTATACTTTAAAGATACTTCTTCTGTGCCTGTATTTTTATTGCTTTATGTGGATGACATGTTGATTGTTAGTCCTTCGGGTGACGCCATTAAAGGTGTGCAAAAGCGTCTCAGTGAGAACTTTGCAATGAAAGACCTAGGTGATGCCAAGAGGATCCTAGGCATTAACATTGTTAGGGATAGGAGTAAGCGTGTGTTAGTACTCAATCAGATTTCATACATTGAAAAGATTTTGAGTAAATATAACATGCATTCTGCTACTACCGTCTCTATCCCTATGGCGTCCCACTTTGTGTTAAGTAAGGATCAGTCTCCCAAGACTGCTCCTGAAATTGCTAAAATGAAATCTGTGCCTTATTCCAATGCTATTGGGTCCGTGATGTACCTCATGGTGAGTACTAGACCCGACATTGCCTATGTTGTTAGTTGTTTGAGTAGGTATATGTCTAATCCTGGTTTACCTCATTGGAATGCTCTTAAGTGGTTGCTTAGGTACTTGAAATCTTCTGTTAATCATGGGTTGGTTTTCACTAGGTGTTCTGAGGGTGTTAAGTTGAGTGGGTATGTGGACTCGAATTTTGCTAACGATAGAGACAATAGGAAATCCACTACCTCTTATGTGTTTACTCTTTGCGGGTCTTGCATTAGTTGGAAGTCTCAACTTCAACCCATTGTTGCCCTTTCCACTACTGAGTCCGAGTATGTGGCCGCTACCGAAGCTTTTAAGGAAGCCATTTGGCTTAAACGTCTCCTAAAGGAGATTGGTAGTCTTAATCAGGACATTTGTGTGTTTTCTGATAGTCAATCTGCTATTCAACTGTGCAAAAATCCTGTTTTTCATGATAGAACTAAGCATATTGATGTTAGATTTCATTTTATACGTGATATTGTTAGTGCAGGTGATATCAAGTTGATTAAAATTCCGTCTGAATTTAATCCTGCTGACATGGGGACTAAATGTCTCTCTGTCGAAAAGTTGTTGTCGTGCAAGCGCACGTTAAACATTGATTGCGGTTAAGTTGCCTGGTGATCTTACCCCTTTGCCTGAATATGTCTTTGTGATTATTCGGGCAATCCAGCGATGATGAGTCTCAAATTGTTTTAGAGCGTTGTGCTCTACACCATTATGGTCCAATAAGGTGGAGAATGTGTTAGGTATTGGCCCAGTATTTTCCATAAGCCCAACTCAACTTAGGGTGCACTGGCCCATTGTTCTTTTCCTCTTCCGCACCGAGCCTTTGATGTTGTCGATCGGCTTCTTCTCTCGCGGTTCTTTCCTTCCCTGGGTAGTGATGTGCATATCTCCTTTGCAAGGTAAGTTACCATTCTTGGTGCCTTTACTCTGCCTATTTAATGTCTCTCCTTCTCGGTCGATTCTGTGCTTGGCCGAAACCCTCTTCTCCCTCTTTTTCGCACATTGACTTGGTTGGTCGGAATTAGGTTGAGTTGGCCGGAAAATAGCCCGTTGGTTGACGCCCCTTTCCCTTTATAGACTGTAGTGGTGGTTCTTCATCCTTTGTGGGTGAAATCGGAGACCTGAGCTGGAAATTACAGTGAGAAATAGATAGAGGATTAGGGTGGGAGAATAGAGATACGAAGAGTCCAGCTGGAGCCGTTGCCGCCGCACAACACATCGTCACACCGGAGTGTCGTCGGACTGTTGGTCTATACGCAGGAGGAGAAGCCGACTGACGCCGGAGAGCCCTACCACCATCGGAGTTGATGAGCTGGAATCCCCTTGATCTCGTTTACCGTCGGCAAGAGCGGCGTTGCTAATTCCTTCTGTGGGATCAACGCACTGTAATCTTCCTTACTCTGCTGCTGCGTTTTTCTTGTTTCTTTTAGATGATTGGGCTGAGCATTAAAACAACATGGGATTGGGTTAGGGATGCTACTACTAAGAAGTACAATTTGAATTTAAAGTGTCATCTGGATCTATGATCCCTTTTAAGAAAAAGTTATAGTAGTAGTCCTAATCATTCAAGAATTTTAAAGGTGGGGTGGTTGGGTTCCGACCACTCGGGATGACTTACTACTCGGAGGGTTTGGAATCCTTTTTAGGGGGTGTGCACACTTAAGGTAGTCGTTTCGTTTCCATTAGCAGTTGTGGTACCGGCAAAAGTACCGGGGTGGTCGTACATAATAACGTAACCACCGGGCTCAACCAGAATGTTGAGCACCGCCCTTCTAAATTACTAGGAAGATAGAGAAGAAGTGAATTTTGAGAAATTCTAAGAGAAGAGTTACTATAGTATTTTTGAAGAAAAGTTTAGGACTTTGATAAAGAAGTGATTTTGAGAAAAATCAAATAGAAGAGAATTTTGGCGGAGTGTGTTATTTTTATATAGTATTATATGAAAAACTATTTTTCACCAAACCTGATTATTTTACGGGGTTGGGTAGTACTTACTTAGCTCTAAAGCTAATTTTTGTTTTCTTTTCTTTGTTTTGTTTTCTGCGCTTTATTTGTGCAGGTGATGATGGCTATGTTGATTGTTGATTGCATGCGTCTGAGAGCGGTTGCTAGATGCCTTAGTAAAACCTAGACATGAATGAACATTTTAGTTACGTTGAACATTTGTTTCTTCATATTACAATTAATTATGACTGTTTTGTCTTAGTTGCCTGTACATCCGGTTAAAAGATGACCGGATGTGGCGGTAACACCCGTTTCCCTATTTAAATTATTTCCGCTGCAAGATTTTTATCAATTTCGAATGAATAAAGCAAGTTTATTATCAATAAATTATTATTTCAAGTATTATTTTGGGGCGGGAAATTGGGAGTGTTACACAAACCTTCATACATCTCCTTTTACCTTCTTCATTCTAGAAAGTTCAGTAGCGGTTTATAAGCGACTATGAGTTCTAAAAAGAATATATTCTATTTAAAGGCTATAACAGGAATTTAAAACATTATTTATTTTTTAGGGGATTGGGTATATATTTAAAAACAAATGTTTGCCAAACATGAGCATCTAACATTTCTTGCATTACATTCCCGCATTCATATGAGATTCTCCGAAACCAAACAGGCTAAAAAAACACTGGCCCAGTATACGCTGAGACCCAAAGTACCAAGCCCAAGAAGGACAAACCTTCTGCAGTCCTTGCTGAACTTCGCAAGGTGGTAGTGTCTAGGGCTGAGCATCGGGCGGGTTCGGGTCGGGCGGGTGGGTGAACCCACGACCCTTTCGGGTATCGGATGTGTAATTAGCCTATCCTACTCTATGTTTTTTTACCCTAAATTTTTCGGGTTTTAATGAGCTTCGGGTAGGGCGGGTTCGGTTCGAGTATCGGGTTATGTCGGGTTCAAGTAACTCATACAAAATGTTCATAGACAAAATGTTCAAGTAAAATATATGGCAATTTGATACCAGTCTTTTAAACTTATAGAACAAAGTAAAGAATACACAGCTTCATAAACAAATTTAATACAAGTGCGCAAAATTACAAAATTAGAACAAAGTTTAATAAACAAACTTTAGAACAAACTTAAACAAATTACAAAATGCTACATAATTCATTAACATCCTTCACCAGCTTCAAGTTTTCACCTGCATATGTATAAATGTATAATAAGTCAATTATACATGTATAATAAGTCAGAGTAACTTGGATAAGTTAATGAAACAAAATAACAAATCAGAAAAATCACTGACTCAGAATGCTTGTTATCCTTCACCAGGAATATAGGGGCAACTGCTACAATTTCAGTTACAACTTACATGTTGTGAACTCAAAGAGCTATACCAACCTTAAACCATACATTCAGTAATGTGTGGAAGCTTCATCATAGCCAATGAAATTTAATAGAAATGATATATTCAAGGATTAATGGGATTATGAGTTACTTACACAAAACCTGAACAAGTCAGAGCAAGGGACAAGAGTCCAGGGACAGTTCACAGTTGCCAGAATGCTTTCCAGAATGACATAATCATACTCATAATACATTATACATAATCAGAGAGCTCAGAAGTCAGAATGCACATGGAAAAACAACCACATAATGCCAAATCAGAGAGTCATGTACTCATGTGCATACACATTCAAACATTCAAACCTATACACATTATACATACTCATAATACATTATACATAATCAGAGAGCTCAGAAGTTAGAATGCACATACACATACAACTCAGAATGCACATAATCAGTTACTGATGTACTAATGTTCAGAGCTCAGAATGCTTTTTATCATTCATAAGGGGAAATAGGGGGCATCTGCTACAATTTCAGTTACAACTTACCATTTTATGAACTGAAAGAGCAACACCAACCCTAAATGCAGTAATGAGTGGAAGCTTCATCATAGCCAAACAACCAAATAATGGCAAAAACCAAACATGTCATATAGCTCAGAAGTCAGAATGCTTGTTATGAACTGAAAGAGCAATGCCAACCCTAAACCCTATAAAAATATAGAAAATGTACACTTAATGGCACAATAGAGGATCCAGTAGGAGCAGCAGTTCCACCACCAACATTTCCATCCATTATTTCTATAACAAACAAAGAGAATTGTTAGAATTATGAAATATAAACAAGAAGATTCATAATAAGCAAATAATACATGAAAACACATAAAACTATAAAAGTTATACCTTTTTCCAGTCTCTCTACTTCATCAATGTTTTCTTCAATTGAGATAGGCCGGTGAGCCAATCTCAACCAATCTTGTGCACAAATAAGGGCTTCCACAATTTTACAACTTAATGAACTTCTAAAACAGTCCAAAACTCTACTACTTGTACTGAAAGTGGACTCAGAAGCAACTGTGGAAATGGGAACACCAAGTACATCCCTAGCCATCTTGGAAAGTATAGGAAACCTTTCACTATTTAACTTCCACCATCTTAGAATATCAAAGTCCCCATCTTCCTCAATTATGGACTCAGCTAAATATATATCAAGTTCAGATTTTTTAACTCCTACCTGACCACTCTCAAGCTTCTTCTTTTTAAGATCAGCCTTAAACCTGGACACAAGCCTATTTTCAGAATTACCACACTCCATAGATGCTCCAGAAGTAAAAGTTGTATTAGAACTTCCACCAACACAGTCAGGGTAACTTGAAACATAATCAACAAATAACTCAGTTAGACCTGACTTCACTTTTAGAAAAAAAGCAGCACCTTTTTTATCACCATATAAAGCATTTAGCTGAAATGGCATATACTCAAACTTGTCCCTAGGATCTAATACATTAGCATAGAAGATTAGATAGTTCATCTTTTCAGGATCACCCCAGTACTTGTCTAGTTTGGATTTCATAGTACTCCCCATGGCACTGACAGAAGCAGTTGGAGAGGCAACCATATCTTTGAGGACAAGGAACAAGTCAGAAATTTCAGAAAAAAAGGTATTGGAAGTAACATATAGTGAGCCTGAAATTCTTAGTGTCATTTCATAAAAATGTTTTAGAATGGTCACAAAAGATTCAACATCAATCCAATCTAAAACATCAGGCATGTCAGAACCCAAATCAGTACTATATGCAGATTCATTCTCCTCATAGGCTTCAAACACTTTCTCATTACAAACTGCAGATTTTAGCATCAGGTAAGTGGAATTCCACCTATTTGGAACATCCAGGTGCAGACCACTCTTGGCTTCCACTCCTATCAAATCAGATATATCTTTGAACTTTTGAAGTCTAGCAGGTGAGTTCCTAACATACTTAACAGCTTCCCTAACTCTCATGACTGAAGTGTCTGAATCTTTAAGACCATCTTGTACTGCTAAGTTCAAGATGTGTGCAATGCAACGCATATGAACATACTTTACTTTTACAGAAGAAGCACCCAGGCTACTAATTTTTTCTTGAAAAAACCAACAGCTGTATCATTACTACTAGCATTATCAACAGTCACAGTAAAAATACTTTTCAGACCCCAATCAAGTAAGCAATTCTCTAGGGCTTTAGCAAGGTACTCCCCTTTGTGAGAGGTGACAGGGACAAAGGAAATTATTTTTTTCTGGATCTTCCACCGATGATCTATGAAATGAGCAGTAATGCACATGTAATTTATCCTCTGAATAGAGGTCCATGTATCAGTAGTTATACTAACTCTCTGAGTTTGTTCCCTAAAATTCCTTTTTCGAGTCATTTTTTCATCAAGGTATATTTGAAAAATGTCTCTAGCAATTGTCCATCTAGTAGGAATTTGAAACCTAGGACAGGCTGCAGCAACAAAATTCCTAAAACCTTGTCTGTCTACAAATCTAAAAGGAAGCTCATCAATGATTAGCATTTCACCTAGAGCTCTCCTAATAGCTTGTTGATGAAATACCCAAGTTCCCATGACCCCAGTCTTTCCAGATGGTTCACCTGTCTGTGGAGGTACATGCTGGAAGGTTAATAGGGCTTGTCTAGTGTCTTTAGCATGGGGGTTTTTCATGCAATTAAGCATGTGATTTCTGATGGAGGAAGTTCCATGTTTCTTAGAGTGACAACAGTATATTTTTGCACAGTATATGCACCTCCCCTTAATAACCACACCCTTTTCATCCTTAATTTCATCAAAGTGATCCCAAATCTTAGATCTTTTGTCAACCACTTTTCTCTTTTGTCCAGAAACAGCAGGTGGTGCAGTCTGCTCATTGGTAATGTTAGGCTCAGGAATTTGACTTTCCACCACTGTTTCTTGACTCAGAGGAGGTTGAGATCCAGATGTAGAAAAGGTCACACATTCTTCAGGGTCCATCTAATGTAAGCAAGTAAGCAACACATGATATATTGATATGTGTATACTAAGCTTCCACAGAGTTCATACCTCACAGATAAGGCAAGTACGCAACACATGAATAAGAGTTGTACATATGCAGTCAGTAAGAGTTTCCACAGAGTTCATATCTCACAAATAATAACCATAATATGTAAATCTGGAACAATCAGCAAGCTGATTTACAGAAGGATAAAAGCACTTTGCTTTTTCACTTCTCTACAGACTCTGAAGAACCCAGTTCACTCTTTGTACTCGTTTGAGTACTAGAGTTGAAAAAGGCTTCTTCATCAAAATAATAAGGCAGTTATGTTACTTATGTACAACAAACAACATAACAGGGACAACTGGATAACCGTAGTGAGTACTCAGTAGGCAACACATGAATATAGAATATATAGCTTGATTAGCTTCCACACTTCATTCATATTTCAAATAAACAGATTTGAAATTCTGAATGCATCATAATATACATCAACAATTAACAGGGACAACTGGATAAGTGGATAACCGAACATTCGAACAGATTTGTACATGCAAGTTTCACAAATATACGAACATCACAAGACTAATCACAACTCAGAACATCCATGCATCATCAAGGACTAAACTTACCATAATACGAATAACGGAATAAGTATTTTATACCTCAACGGCTCGAGACGAAGGAGATGAAAGGCTTCCACTAGGTTAGAGAGTAGAGACGGTAAACCCTACAAGGAGATGAAGGCTTCCACTCAGTTGAGGACTACAGGCCTACAACCCTACAACGACGGCAACGGCGGCCGACGAAGTGAGAAGTCAGACCAAATTAGGGTTAGCCGCTTAGAGAGTTAGAGAGAGAGAGTCTGAGAGTGTAAGTTAGGATTAAGTGGTTAACCAGCGAAGGGAAATGGGGATAAGGGAAAGCCGGAAAGGGACTAAGGGAGTGGACTAATGGGCTTGGGGAGTTGGGTAATGACCTTATAGGCTTGGGTAGTTGGGGAGTTGGGTAATGGGCTTAGACTTGGTCGGGTTTTCGGACGGTTCGGGTAGGGATTAGGAGGACCCTACCCGCTGGGTGTCGGTCCAAAAAGTTTAGGGTGGGCGGGTCGGGTCGCTGGGTTCGGGTCGGGTCAACCGACCCAATCACAAAAAATCGGGTTCACCCAATCGGGTTCTTCGGGTAGGTTCAAGATCCGGCTGACCGCGTCTCCGCCGTTCCGCCCGCCGCCTGCATGCTCCGTCGTCCTATCTTAGAACAAGCCAAGGTCCGAAGCTGTGTTTGCAAATGCCGCGCGATTCCTAGGAGGCTAGGTGTAGCGCGTACGTGCTTCCCACTACCACAGTGCCAGCTGAAAGTATTAAAATCAGTGTCTCTTTAAAGTTTTTTCTTTACGTTTTCTCTTGAAATTGTGGTCGAAACTCGAAATGGCTGGAGCGTTGAGTCCAAATGGTGTCGAGGAATCCAAATCAGGTTTTTTGAACCTTGAAATATACTCCGTACTACGTATAAGCTTGAACCTACTGTCATTAGCTCAAAATTTATACCTTACTGATTTGTGTTTTACATTTCACTCGAAGAAGGTGGGCGGAGTTTGAAGGTATTCAACTTTCAAGACGAGGCAGCAAGCATGTCAATTTCATCAGGCAACAAACAAAGGAATCCATTAGATTTTTTTCGCACTTTATATGGTAATTCCCTTGTATTTCTTCTTCGTCCAAATAAATATGTCTTAATATGTGAGATTGTGCATATTTAGAGGCAGCTAGCAGCTGAATTCAAGTCATAGCTTTTGTATTTGGTTTTTTGACGCGTCTAATGTGTTCTCTATCAGAGGGCGCTATAGCTGGAGCAGCAGCTGGTGTTGTTGTAGAAACTGTATTATACCCAATTGATACAATAAAGACCCGGCTTCAAGTAGGTTCACTCTACTGGGTGCAGCTCTTTTTTACGTCCTTCAAGTGCATGTAGGCATTCAAGATATTTTGCTTGTGATTGATTAAATGTTGTACAGTGGCATCTCTTTTATTGTAATTTGCGTCTAATAACATAGGTTACCATTTTCTATTTCATCTTCTATTTTCACATAGGTTGCCATCGTCAATTTTCATCACAACATTGCAGTAGGCCTAAAATAGTTACTTCATGCATCCAATCTTTCAATATTTATCATTGATGTGTCAGCATGTGTGGCAATTGGAGTAATGGCATGCAGTTGTCCACACTTCTATTTTCTTATAGATTATGGAGTGTTTGAGCCTTTAATGACAGAATATATGGCTAGCTGTCCTTTTTTGGGATGGGAAGTCTGACTAGCTATCCTTTATGTTAGGTAGTCCGTGGTGGTGGAGAAATAATCATGAAAGGTCTCTATTCAGGCTTGGCTGGAAATCTTGCAGGAGTCTTACCGTAACTCACTTTACGTCAAATAAATTTGCTACTACTGAATTGTTTATATGATAAACATCAAAGAGAAACCCCTGTGTTATATTCCTATGATTGATTTGGACAGTGAAGTGATGAAATGGAAGTCAACCATCAAGAGATCTTTCTTTGTTCTCAAACATATTTATCGACTCTTTTAAAAATTGAAATGTTAAATCCAATGGAAGCATAGGCTGCATAGATAAAGATCCTCCCCATTTTTTTTAGTGTCATACTACTGTGGGATTAATGCCATAACAAGATCATGTTATGTCAAATTTGAAAGCTAATAGAGACATGATTTCTATTTTCTACACATAACCTCGCGAGGTGATGTCCAAACTTCAAAGGCCTCTTTAAATAGTGCCAAGAAAAAGGCTTCATGCACTTTTCAATTAATGGAGGCATAAGGGGTTTCTTTCATTTTTAAGCCCCCTCTGTTTGTCTGATATAGAAATTGGCTGAAAAAGGGTGAATCAAAGGATAAATTTTTTCTTTGGAGTTTGGAGTTTGGACTCATCTGGGTCACTGTGTGGGCCTCTCAAGATATTAGGCCTTGGTTGGGCTCAGGTATATCTGCCCAAGTGCCCAACAAATCATTTCAAGACTAACAGATTGGCTATCTTTTTGCAGAGCTTCTGCCATATTTGTGGGAGTGTATGAACCTACAAAACAATTTTTATTGAAAAGCTTTCCTGAGAATTTCAGTGCCTTAGCTCACTTGGTAAGATTTAGATGTAGCCTGCTATTTTAGCTTTCATTTTCTTATTGAGCAGTGAGACTTGCATTGGGTTATGATTAAGCATTACAGCATGTGGTCTCTTTCTAGTATTGCACGATCAGATACATAGTTTCTGGCTAAAAGTATTATGAAGATAGAGAGGAACTTTTTGTTCCATTGATTTCATTTTTCCTGTCTTCATCTTTTTCCTGATTTGATTAGTTCTGTTTCTTGTGAAGCTTCAAAATTTTTGGTGATTATTCTGACAATGTGTCTGAGTGGCATACATTTGAGCTGATCTTTTTATTCTAAAATTTTCTTCTATTATTTTCCAATTTTGGCGGGACTTACCCCCACCCTTGAAGTAAAATAAAATAAAATAAATTAAGGATAAACATTTCAGGCTTCATTTAGACTGCAGGGGCTGTTGGAGGTGCTGCTTCTTCAATTGTCCGTGTGCCAACAGAGGTAGTTGAGATCTGACAGCTTTAGCCTTATTATCTTGCATTGACTCTAGCTCATGCTACTAAAAATTCACAGGTAGTCAAGCAACGGATGCAGACTGGGCAATTTGCTTCTGCCCCTGATGCATTGCGCCTTATCATTTCTAAAGAAGGTTTTAGAGGCCTGTATGCAGTAAGTAATGTTGTCCTGATTCTTTTTTTGTAATCTTGTTAATGAAAATATATTTGTACCTCTTATGATTGGGATTCCTATTTCTTTTAATGGGCAGGGATATGGCTCCTTTCTACTGAGAGACTTACCTTTTGATGCTATGCAGTTCTGTATATATGAACAACTTCGACTGGGTTATAAGCTAGCTGTAAGCTTTTATCTTCACGTCAGAAGTGTGTTTGATCTAAATTCATCACTTAAGAGTTAAGAGTCTTCAATTTTCATGGGAGGATGGGATGGAAGTGGACTCTGGTCATTTATTTACAATAGCCTTACCTGGTATTTGAGATTTACATGAAGTATGTTTTTGAGCTTTTCCTGTTACAGGCAAAAAGGGATTTAAATGATGGTGAGAATGCAATGATTGGTGCCTTTGCAGGTGAGCTTTTGAGATTTTTTGTTTCGTTTATTGTTATTGTTTGCTATGTTTCTTGCCTTTTGAGTCATTTGATAGATCATCCAATATTTTAAGGTAAATTAGTTTTTAAAACCTGCATTGTCCTAAATTTTCCTTCGATGAAAATCTATGTTGATACATCGTAAATATAAGGTTTTAGGGTGCTACTCTTATATTTACCTTTTAGGTTTGTACCCAAGTTTTTATGTCATACTCCGTATTAAAACAAGTAAAGCTCAAATGAGCAATACGATCCTGTTAAGTCTGTTAATGCTAAAATAAGAGCACATGGACTCAACATTGGTTAGTGATAGCGAGCCACAATGTTTTAGTGTGGTTAGTCATCCCATAAAATAACAAACTAACATAAAATGTTTTGCTCTGACCCTCTAATTCATCCTAGTAACTTAGTAAGTTTACTTTTTGAGATGGAATTTCAGGTCTCCCTACCTTCCTTTCATAATCTAAAACATTGGCTGCAGGTGCTGTCACTGGTGCCATAACAACTCCTCTTGATGTCATAAAAACTAGACTTATGGTTCAGGTAGAGTTTCTAAGTGTTACTAGTCCTAGTTTATTAATATTACAATCATCTTTGGTAGTTGTGTTAGTTTTGTTTTGGCCTCGACACAGGGATCAACAAAGCAGTACCAAGGTGTTATCCATTGTATTGGAACTATTGCTAGAGAAGAAGGAACCTCTGCTCTTTTTAAGGTATATCTTCACTGTCCTATGTGGCAATATGATATATGGAGTAGAATGCATGACATTGTGCATTCTGTACTAGTAATAACAAGAATAACAACAAATTGGATGGTTTCGGTATAACTCACTGTTGTGTTTGCTGCAGGGGATGGGACCAAGGGTGCTTTGGATTGGAATTGGAGGTTCAATATTTTTTGGAGTGCTTGAGAAGACAAAACAGCTTCTTTCCCAGAGAAAAACAGCTGAGGTGAAACATGAATGAAGCCTAGGAATGTTTAATTTAGAAATAAACAACACAGATGTATTCGTTTGTGCGGCTGGCAGTGTATGCAAGTATGATTGACGCTTGAACTCCAAACCATGAATTTGTAACTGTTTTGTCATGCGTATTCATCATGTCTGTATGAACAAATAAAAAATAAATAAAACATTCAAGTTCATCACCATTATCTATACTCAAGTTCTCTCGTGGATGGAAATATTATAAGAAATAATTATCTGTTTATGACTAAAATAAAGGTTGTTTCTAAAAATGTGATATCGTAAGTGTAATGACTATAACAATAACTTTAGTCATAGTAATAAATTTTCAGTTTTTACACTTGAGTGATCATGATGATACTATATTTATAGTAAGTTTAGTCAAATTTTTGTAAATAAGTTTTCTTGTTTGAGCTATCCTAAAGCTATAATAATCTACTTTAAAGAAAGAATTATGTGATTAAAGTTATTTCCTTTTCATTGTAAAAAGTATTAACCAAGCAAGTTAAAAAAATCTTTTAGAATATACGATTATATTCCCTCCGGTTCTAAAAGATCTTGACATTTTGACTTCACGGTATTTAAGAAAATAAACACCGTTTGACACTGCTTGACACTGTTTTGTGTAGATTTATTTGCCAAATAAAGCAAATAAGGAAGTGTAAAGATCGTTCTGGTACTGCTAAAAATGGAAAGTGTAAAGATCTTTTAGAACCGGAGGGAGTATGTTTCTACACGGATGCAAATGAAGTGCTTCTTGTATTAGAGTATGTTTGACACAACTAGCTGAAAAGATACTTTTATGAGCTTTTTAGTAACTGTTAGCTTTTAGTGACTGAAAAGATCTTAAAAAGAACAGGCAGTAGCTGTTTGGTAAAAAGCCGATTGTTTGATTTAGCTCTGTTTGGTATACAAGCTGTTAGGGCTAATTAATGCTAGAAGCTACGGACTTATCTGAGATGCTACTCACTGTAGCATCTCAAAAAAGATCTTTTATTTTTATAAAAGCTCTTAAAAATTGGCGTGCCAAACATACAACTAGAAGCTTTTAAAGACTTTTTAAATAATACAAAAACTAGAAGGCATGAACTTAAACTATTAATGCAGCGTTGGGGCTAAACTACTAAACCTAACCAAAATGTATGCAATCTTATTTCAACCATATATTTTTTATCCCCCAGTTAGGAGTGGGCAAGTCTTCTAGATAATACAATCATCTAAATCAATTTTGAGGGGGTGAGAACTTCTATGTTTAATTGTACATGAGATAATGACATACATCAATTTTGAGGGGGTGTTTGGATCTGATTCTTAAAACTGCTTCTATTCCTTCAAGGAGCAGAAGCAGAAGTTGGAGTGTTTGACTGAAAGTGCAGAAGTACTTCTGATGCTTTAATTTACTCCTAGAATCAGTTTTTTTGAAGCTGGGGGGACACTAGCTTCTGAAAACTGATTCTGATTTTGCTTCTGTTTTAAAAAAGAAGCTGAAGCAGAATCGGTTCCAAACACCCCCTTATTTCGAATTCACTTCAAAATCTCCAACATATAGCTAGAAGAACTTAACCACTCTCTTTGCCTGGTAGAGTTGGTCTCGACTAGGGTTGGGTTAGGTTGGGTTCGGGCCGGGCTCCGGGTTAGGACTGGGCGGGCTCCGGGCCCAAAAACATCAGGATTCAGGACCAGTACCGACTTAGATTTGTACCGGGACCAGGCTGGGCCGAGCATGGTTTTTTTTCAATTTTCTTTTCGAATTAATTCCAATCCCCCATCCCCTAAACCGCCCAGTCCCACCCACCGAGCAGCCAGCACCATGGGAAAAAAATTAATTGGGCCCGGGGCGGCAAGGCTCTAGGCCGGGCTGACCCGTCCCAGTCCACCCCTAGCCTCGACAATGATGACACAATCTTCTTTTCATTCCAAAATTCATCTATATTTTATCGTAACCGCAAAGTATATACAAATTGGGCGAATTTTGATTGAAGTTCTAAATTTAATCTTAGTTAGAAATTCAAAACAATTTAACTTAGTACTATGTACATTATAAGATTCTTTTATATATGTATAGTCATTCATACATCACACAGTGACATATGTGTTATGATGAATACTGTTCACATGTACTACTTTCGCTCCATTCAAAGGTTCATAGTGACATATGTGTTATGATGAATACTGTTCACATGTACTACTTTCGCTCCATTCAAAGGTTCATGTATATTCTTTTCCGATCAACGTAATATTTTCTTAAACTTTTAACCATCTTTTATTAAATTTGAGTTTTTTTTGCAACATTAAAAATTTGTTGATGTAATTTTTAAACATGTAAATTTTATTTATTAAAAATAATCTTCTTACAACGGGGTTAGACATAAATTGTATGGGAATGTTTGTACAAGGGATCCGGCTTCTGTACCTAGATTCAGCAGATTAGGAGAGTGCCTGACCTGTTTTTGGTCCTCACATAATCTTGAGGCCAAATGATAGGAGATGAAAGACCCCATTTTTTACACAAATCTTGAGGCCTGATTTTTAATCCCTCTCATCCATTGTCTCTGCCATACAGGATCTCAATCCTTGTACAAGAACTTTCAAACAAGCAACTATGGAATAAAGTTCTGGGGGAATAACAGATTTGCTATTAGAACTTTCAAAATCAGATTTTCAATGGGAAAAAATATAACCACAATACAAAGAACATTTTTTTACTTACCAAACAAGCAATATGGAATAAAGTTACTTGAGGAGAGTTGCTCCAAAGGGGTAGCTAGCCACTGACGGAGCATAACACAAATTTAAAAATCTCTGCTATGCAATCAGGCAACTGGCAGTGGGAGAACGCCGCAGCTGGCGCCGTCGCGGGGTTCGCCACCGTCACATATTCTCATCCCCTTGATGTCGTCCGCACGAGGTTCCAAGGTATATTTTATCTTTTCTCTCTTTCATTTTCTGTTGTGTACGTATATGAAAGCTATCTCTGCTTTTGTGTTTATATATTAATAATTTAGCATACATTGTTTTTTTGATAATGCTGTTTTGAGTTTGATTGGAATAAAAATGATTCACAGTACACGATGGGCGAACTGCGAGCCTTCCAACATACAGGAACACCCCTCACGCTCTATTCACCATCGCTCGTCTCGAGGTTTGCCCTTTTCTCCCATTTTTGTTCGTGAAGTTCCTCTGACGTGCTTTCCATTTTATTTACTTTTCCTCGTTCTGGAAATTTTTCGTAATTAGTGTACATGATGTGTATTAGTTATGCAACAAATGTGCAAAAAAGTTGAGAAAACAATTTTAGGACCCACTGACCCAGTGTTGGCGATAAAAGAGAATTTGATGACTTTAACTCCTGGTTAAAATAATGCCAAGAGTGAGTAAGATGCTAATTATTCATTGCTTGTTAAGGTTAGACACTTTCTCCATTAAGAGCGTTGCGGAGTATATGATTTGGTGTAATCATGTATCTACAATGTGTAATTTGCATTTCGATATGCTTCTTTGCTAGTAATTTGATTTTTCTCCAGGGCTTAAGAGGGCTTTATGCAGGTTTTTACCCTGCTGTTCTTGGATCAACTATTTCATGGAGCTTATATTTTTACTTGTAAGTTTTGCCCCTGGAAGCCTGGTTGAGTGATACTAGTACAAATTTATTTAATTTAGAATGGTTGAATATTTTGAGTGTCATACTTCCTTGAACATTGCCAATGTATGCTTCTGTGCTAAAAGCATTGTCTATTGGCGCCTTTTTATGCTTGTGCAATTTACACTACTGTAATTCTGAGTGTAGAAAGTGTGTCCAGTTCAAATCACCTTCATACTTTTTTTGGTTGAAGCCTAGAAGAGGATTAGGGAAGAGAGAGAGAGGGAAAATAGTGTGTGAGCCTGTAAGTAAAGAAAGATGTGATAAAAGTATGTATTGTTTGATAGGAGATAAATAGAAAGGATGCAAATGCTTATTTTGTTTAAAACTTAAAAGAAGAAAATACAAGTATAATAAAGTTGGGAGAAAAATAAGGATTATCTCCTTTCTTCTCACATGGGAGAAGAAAACATTTTTTTGGATGAGCAGTTATTTTATCTAATCACAGTTATTTCTTTCTTCCCTGCTCTCCTTCAACCATACAAAGCCGAAATACTATCTATAAGTCTATAACTATGAGCAGTTATTTTATCCAATCATGAACTCCCTAGTACCTAGTAGGTTAGTATATGTTCTGACATGGAAGCTGATTTTATATTATCTCTTGACTGTAAAATTCCTATAACAACTACATTATCGTGATTGTAATCAGCATGTCATGTGACGTAGATAGCTTGCATTCCATCTGTTTGCCCCAAATGATTCCTCTGGAACAGCAGCTCGTTAGGCTGCTTCTTTTTGGATTGTTTACAGAACTTACCAAATGTACAATCTCTTTTGTAGTTATAGCAAAGCAAAGCAAAGGTACATGAAAGACAGGAAGGAGCCAAGCCCCGGTCTTCATCTTGCTTCAGCTTCTGAAGCAGGAGCTTTGGTTAGTATACAAACTCTCATGTTGATTTGTAAGAACACTGTTCAAGTCAGTTGTTGTCATTGTTGATAGTGTGGCTAATAGTGTGCTTTTCAAGGAGACTAGGCAAGCATCATCTATCATATATTGGTGTCTTACTAAAACTTTGCAGTTCATTTATCTATCCAGGCTATAGCAGGATTACCTACTTTCCCCGCTGAAAGACTTAGTTTTGAAATATATAGTGCAGCTTAATTAATTATTATTTTTCTCAATGTATTCAGGAAGTGTTTGGTTGATCTCCTAATTGCGAAATTTTAGTTATGCTTAAAATAGTCTTTTTTCTGATTAGGTATGCTTTTGCACCAATCCTCTTTGGCTTGTAAAGACAAGATTGCAACTGCAGACTCCTCAGCATCATATTCGTCCTTATTCTGGCTTTCATGGTTTGCTTCACCCATCATTTTACTTGCTAATTGCCATTTATGTGTTCAAGTATTTTTGTTGTGTACTGTGATGTAGATTCTTCTACTTTGCGAGGGTGCTCTTTACCATGTTTCATCTGTTTTTTAATTCCTGATAGGTCCAGTTTATTTTTGTGTTGCATATTTTCCCTGGGATGTCCTAAACAGTTGATACTCACATAGTTCTAGAACGTAGTATGTAAAGGCTGGATTTATATTCTATACATGAACTTTTAATGCAAATTT